TTATTTGCTATCAGGCATTTTAAGCACTTTCTTCATACTTTTCCAAAACAAGCCCTAAACAACTTTTGTTCACAAGATTATTTAAAAGTTATTAAGCACCGAGACAAGTTGACTAGCGACACTTATTTATTTGTTTTATTCATGAAAGCGAGTCACACAAGATTCGTTTATAATTCCATGTGTGCTTTAAACTTTTAAACCCGAAAACTTGTTTTGCTAATTTCTCTTAGGCATTAACCTAGGTGCTAAGCAAGCTCGTAACATCAGAGGTGTTATAGATTGTACTTTAGAATATGTGCTCCAGCTCTAGTTGTAATGGGTTAGAACATCGTGTGGGTCATGGAACTTCCACCAGAGTTGACTCTCACCAACCTGACAACTTGGTTTTAATTGGGTTTTGACCTGTTCGCACTAGGTTTGGTTGGAAGTACTTTGTAGGTGTCTGGTTCTTACTACTTACAACTGGGTCTAGATGAAACTAGTTTGCTATTAAGTTTGGTTTCAACTGAGTTTTGACTAGGTTTGGTTGAAACAGGTTGTTGTTGGGTCTGGTTCAAATTGGGTTTTGAATTGTTCAAAGTGGGTTATTGGTTCAAACTAGGTTTTGACTGGATTCTAACGGGTTCGAACTAACATGTTTTAGTTGTTTTAGACCCGTTACGTATTTGATTGTCCAGTATATAGATCTGACAGATTTGTCTAGAACAAATATGTTAATTTTTCATTTCGGAGGTGTTAGCTTCTCATTTGCTAAAAAATTGTTAGATTTGCCCACTAAAATGCACATAGCTAAACACTCCTATTTTGTTAGTACATATCACAATATATAATATATATCCAATTGTGATAAAATTCATTTTTTATGTATCTTCAATATGGCAATATGGAAGCAAAAGTGTGTTGGGGTGATTATGCTAGGTTGTGTGGTTCTTCATAGTATGATAGTTGATGATCAGAGAGAGGAATCTATCATTCATATTGACTTGGCCAAGAATGCAAGGCATCATTTGCTCTACCTCCTGAAGTTAATGTTGGTGGTAGTCTATGATTTATTCATGTGCTACGCAGAAAAGCTACTATCTGTGCTCCTCATATGAATATGAATGATAGTTGAAGATGAGAGAGTGAGAGGAAGTTACTATTTATATATGATTTGAATAAAAAAGTAGGGCCATCATTTGCTCTACATACTGAAGTTAATATTAGTAGTAATCTATGATTTATTGATGTGCTATTGTTGGTATAAATTAATGCAGATAGAATAATTCGCAAGCGCATGGATATTATACCGATGTAGCACTTCACCGGGAGTACCTAGTTTTATATCGAACTCGAGGAAACGTGTATGAGAATGACCAAATCTAACTTATCCCAACTTCACAATCAAGGCTAGATAATAGGAGCATAGAGGAGACTGCTAAGGTCTTCTAGTTCTAACTTTAGTAAGGTTTATCTTCTATTGTTCAATTCTAAGAATATTACTAGAGAAAACACAGACAGAGTATGTTTTCTATAGTAATAAGGTCCTGCTAGGCCTACTAACGGGAGGTGAACTACAGAGGATTCAACGAGGCTATAAGAGTCACCCTCTCGAGCTACCACCGATCTAGAAAATAGGGTACATCCATGAGTGATCGAGTCTAAGCACCCCGCTTACACTACGAATACTACTTTAACCTAGGAGCTACAAGGATTAAAGTACTCGAAGAGAGTCGCAAACCTGAAGAACAATATGAACAAGATGCTTACTTGAATTAGAAGTCGGTTATTAGAGAAATCTTAGAAGCAAGCTCTGATTCTGCCAGGGTACAAGCCGTAGAGAGAACACCGATAGGCTGGGACTCCTCCAAACTCTTCTCTTACACTCTGTCTCTCTATCTCTAATACAAGACTAGATCCTATGAATGACTAATCTTCTTTTGATTGCTAGCTCTGATCTTGGTGAAGATATGAATTAGGGTTTCTAGTTTTTTAGCTCTCAGGATCTAACTTGGCATGCCCTGGAGGGGGGTGTAGGTAGGTATATATAGGTCGAAGCGTCAATCCTGAGCCCTTAGATCAAACCGACTTGAATAAACGACGGAGATGCAATCCTTAAGGCGGTGGAGAACCGACATAACAAGGGACTACCAGGTGGACTCCACATGTCAGGGGCATGGGGTATGCTTTGGTGGAGAGCCTCCTAGAGTCTTCTAGAGTCTTTCCACACTGTTTACGCGGCGGAATTCCGTAATTTCCTATAACGAATAGGTCCTCCTTGGCGGTTTTCTGATTAAATTCTACTGGAAACACAGATTCACCAAAACTCATGGAATTTATCAGTTTAAACCCCTAAGTCTATAATGGTGACCCATTTTAGCCATTTATGTAAGTTATATTGATGATTTGTGATGAATGTTAACTACCGTCAACAAACTCCGCCACACTTAGGCTTTTACTCGTCCTCGATAAAAGGATGGATTACTCAAGACATAACCTTAGGACAAGTCATCAACATAAAACCATTCTTAGTCATACATGCACTGCAGGATTCAAAGTGTCTACCATGAAACTTTGGGCGGTTAAAAAATAGAACAGCTTGAAACAAATCACCTTTTTTCCTTCAATCAAGTCAACTGGAGAAACATTTTAATTTTTTTTGAAAACAAAACATAGCTTACCTTCTCCTTTTGTAGTACAATCAAATCACTCTATATATGTGATATTTTTAGATCCTCACCAAGGCATTAATGACTTTGCCTTCTTTTTTCTTACTTCTAAAAGCTTATGTGGAGCTCAGGTAGGGAAGAATATGAGAATATACTTGCATTGTATATATTGTAAAGTCAAAACAAGGATCCAAGGAGAAAAATGTCATTCTTTTAGATCAAGATGTGCATGTGTGTGGATATGTATATGGTGGCTAACCTAATTCTACTATGCTCCTTGAAACATATCTCTCTTGATTAAAACTTGAAAATACTTTGCAAGAAAACATGGGCTATCTTATTCATTTCTTTTTTTATTGGCGGGCATTTAAGTACCCATTATTTTATATATCTCGGACACATGTCCATTTTTCCAATACTTTTTTTATGAAAAACTTTTGCATAGCCCATGCCTCTTTTTCTGCAATTGAAACTTTTGAAGAGAGACATTTACAAGAACTTGGAGCATTTATCCTAACAAACTTATTTTTGTGTCTATTCCTAGTGTAGGAGTAGAACATTTTTGGGTGGATGGAAAACATGTTGCTGCGTCCCCCAGTGTAGGAGCAGCACATATATATGGAGTGTACGTGATCTTGATCTTGTGCATGATAAGTTTCTCAACAAGGGTCACAAGGTTTGACCAAATTCAACACAATAGCAAGTAGCATATGTAGAGGGTTTCCTAGTATATCATATCATGTTTGGCTCTGGTGGGATGTTGCTTACCACAAAGGAGAGGTGTAGCTATTCATTTTACTTTTTTGAAATAAAATTCTTCAATAACAAGACATCAAGAATCAAGTTCTCATTATTCTATTATATCTCATTCCACAACAACTTAAGTAACATGGGGTCCATAATGATAAGTTCTCAACAGTAGCAAGACTTTCAGAAAAAGTATTATGTGAGTCTATCCTTTAAGTCATGACTGAAATAATCTTTCCTTAGGTTTTAAAGTTGTTTTATCAAAGGATTTTTAATTCGGTTCAAAACGGAAAGCATAACATGTGAAAATAGATCATATGGGCCGCAAACCTGACCGTGGACGAAGCACGAGGCGAGGCGGAGCTGGGCTGGGCCAGCTGGCCCATGTAGGAAGCTGGGCGGCCCACTCTCGGGCCTGTTTCGGTCCAAATTTGGCGAGCGTGGATTTTGGTCCATTGCTTTCTGAATTTCATGATTTTCGCGATCGAATTCTGTCTTGTTGTCGCGGTGTGCTTCCCCCACACTTGTTTCATGTTTACCTTTATGCACAACATGTGGAGACAAAATACATATCCAAACGGTGTAGAGGTGGAGACGACACTGGCACAAAGGTGGCCGGTGGTTGGCGTAGCCGCGTAGGTCTTAAGAGCCACTCCCGAGCCACCTCGGTCGGTAGGTGTTAGATCTTACCTTAGATTGACTTAGAGAAAAGGACGGGATCCATCTCTTTATGTACTTAGAGTGGTCTAGGATCATGCCATTTTTCTGTTAGGAGTGACCCCCGGTCAGGGTCATTGAGTGCCTGTTAAGCCCCTTTGACTTGGTATGTATTGACCGTCTGAGATCAATCCAACAAAGCTCTACCCAATAGGCCCTTAAGAGGACCCAAGGGGCATTGGGGGGGGGCTCATACAATATGAGGAAAACTTATTTCTTGAATCTAAAATGCATATATAGTGATCGAAGGCCAGCCTTTCATATTGTTTTCTTCATATAGTGACTGAAGGTTGTTCATGTAAACGGGATGGCTGCTCTTTCTACCAAGTTCCAAGCTCCAACTATATATATCCACAAGATATGTTGTGTACATGAAACTATTAAATACTTAGGCCCTGTTAGCAAGGCCTTGACTATTTTACAAATGAGAAATGACTCCTCTCAGATGGAGCAATTTCTGTGGTGAATTTAAAGCCATTTGGAAAAATATTTGGTAAAACAACTCCGGCAAGGAGGGGCATAGGAGCCAGAGGAGCATGTAGAGTGACCTGCAGGACAGGAGGAAGACTCACACTTTAGGCTGCTCATAGAAGAAGCCAAGAAACGCCGTAACATGAAAATGGACACTATGATTGCAACCAACAGCAGGATACACACTATACAAAGATGTTACATAGAGTGCAGAGGGGTCATAACATTTCTTACACCTAGGTTGGGTAGTTTATCGCAGTTCAGAGGCTATTATACAGACGCTAAACCGGCAGCCTGCTAGCTATATTGTCTGGTGGATACCATTACCATCACACTACTCTTATCAGGGCAAAACACACTATGAAGCAGTGCCTCCTGAAGAGTTACTACTTACTAGTGCCTGCTGCTGCATAGCATCTACGGTCTTGTATTTGCGGCGTCGTTGCCATGCAGCTTCTGCACAGCATCGACGACCTGAGCGACCAAGGAGTGGAACCCAGGCCCCTGCGACTGGACAAACCGTCTGGTGTCCGCACCGACGGCGTCGATCAGGGCCTTGAAGCTCTTCTCCCGGCCCCTCGACAGCAGCGCCGCCGCAATGAACCCCACGCTGCTCCGGGCGAGGCTTGTGGCGTGGCTGCGTGACACGGCCTCGATGCGCGACACCAGGTCTTCCAGCAGCTTCATGGCCTCCTCCAGAGAGGAGCTGCTAACCACGCCGGATGGGGAGGGAGGATCCGAACCCAGCCTGACGAACGTGGCACTCAAGCGTAGGGCGAGGCAGTTCATGGAAGCGACTGCAGACTGTGCCTCCAGCTGAAACGCTTGCGCTGTCCTCAGCTTTGCTCTGGTTCCCTCAAGCACCTCCTCGTTGTTGGCAATGGTGAGGATCCCCTCAGTGTTTCTCTGGTTGCCTCAAGCTCCTCTTCCTTGTTGCTTAGCTTCTCGGTAAGCTCCTGGACCTGCTGCTCCAGGTCCGAGGTCCGAACACCCAAAGCGACTGATGCCCGAATCTGTTAATTGTGGAATCAGCACATGAAGAGCTATTAACTTATGCAAAGTATCTTTTAAGCAAGACAGGTAAGAAGAGTCTTTTGGAAGGCCATACCTGTGGAAGGAGAGAGTCTAGCTTCTGTAGGATCTCCTGCTCCGAGGAACCTACCATGAAATCATTCACTTGCTCCTTCATGGAAGTGCTGGCAAGCTGCACGACATCCTCTGCTACACCTTGGACATCCTCTGCTGTAATAGTAACAAATGTTGATACAGCCTGTTAATTCACAGAAAAGGAAAAAAAATCATGAAAAGCAATAGCACACGTCAGAAAATAGCTTACCGTCTTCAGAACCCCCAGTCACTTCATGTTCACCTTTGGGTACAGAAGATACCTTTGCATCACCATGGAACTCGTCTGATGCCTCCTGGGGAGGTGTTGTCCCCTCAGTAGCCATGACAATGTCACCATCAGTTTGCTGGTGCACAAACAACTCACTTGAATTACACACCGTAGTTTGCAGGTTATCATAACCAATCAGGCAATCCTCATTTTCTTCCCTTCTCTCTTCTGGTTCCTCTATCTGTCTGATGTCGAGCTGCCGATGCTGCTGCTTGGCATTATTTTTATTCGGAGGACACACACTCTGGTGAGAAGATAAACCACCAACCTGGATCTGGTTTTGCGGGCTACGGAAGGTATCAACAATATCAGTATCACTGGTGCCAGGGCTAGGCATGTATGTTGTCACATGTCTGCTTAATTCTGCCCTCTCATCATAGCAGGTATCCCTTTGGTTTCTTAGCTGCACAACATAAATATGAATGAACAAAAAGTTATACTACAATACTACTACTGCATGTATAATTTGAAAACATCGGAGTTACTGTTAAAGTAATACTACATTACTACTGAATATACTCACGTTTAGGTTCCCAAAAATTGGCAAGCCATCCTCCTCCTGCTTGTCAGCCTTCACCAACTTCTGGATCATTTCACTGCCAAAGAATTTGGCGCGTGGAACCTCTACACATCTCATTTTCTGATCACAATCTAAGTTGTCGAGGTAATACATCTGCAGGAAAGAAAAACAGAATAGATAAACATGTAGTACAATGTTATACATACATTACAGGTAAACCCTGTGGATGCACATCATCTTTACTGCAGCAGAAAATACATAACTACTACAGAAGATGCTCACCACAAGAAATGCAGAGCAGCCATATACTACTACTTTGTCTTTATGTTTTCCACTTTGTTCCTTCCACATATTTGCAGAATACTTTAGTTGGTCGACAATGAATTTGCACCAATTCATGTGACCAAACTTGTTGAAGTCTTTATTGACCATGTCCCATGCACTTTCTGTGATGTACTTACTGGAGCTACAAGCCATTAATTTACAAAACACAATCATCATGAAACACTGCATTGTAAACCTGTCAGTGCCGCCAGACTGTATTTTCTTTAAAAGATCACCAACCTTGACACGTTTGCCTGCTGGAACACCTAACTTCTCTCTTAGTAATTTTAGTCCATTGAGATTGCGTGTGTTTGTAAGCATCAATGGTGGATCCAATTTTCCCTTCTGCAGCCCCAGAACACAATTTATTGTGTGCTGGGTTATCAAAAGCTTTCTATTGCCCCCAAAATAAAGAACCATTGTGTCCGGATCCTGGTCATCCGGGTCGAGGTGATCCATGAGCCAGAATATAAGGTTATATGGCCCACATTTGTCCATTCTAAAATCAAGCAAAGACCCAAAGCCAAGTTCCTTCACCTTCTCCCAATGAGGCTCATTTAGCAGCGCCACTGCCTCACAGATTTTGTTTGGCTGACTGCTTATGTTGAAGTCACTGCTACTTCTTGTTGCCAGATTCCTTATAAGAGAGGAAGGAAAATAAACTTTGAAAAGTTAACCAAAATTATGATTGCACATGCATTAAATTACTGCTACATGCATACTAACAATTACTGTATCACACATGCATAGTAAGCAAAGTCTTACTACCTGATAAAGAAAACAAGTGAAACAAGATTGTGCTACTAAACATTTAATCTACAATCATTGCAAAATTTACCTGGCCATCTACTATTTCCTCTGCGCCTTCCCCTGCCTCCGCCTGTGAATCTTCTTGGAGCATATCAGCAGTCCTCTTTTTCCCTGTGAGCTTCTCTTGACTGCTACCTTTTCTCACTGAAGATCTCTTATTACCCAACACCAACACCTCTTCTGCTGGAACAATATTATTATGTTAGGGTTGGCTCATGCTCAATAGTCAAGTCTGATCTCGAACTCAATGCCGTTCTTTTTTCCTCTTCCAAACTCACTAAATTATTTCAATGTCATTTGATAGATGGAACAAAAATAGGCATATTAACTAGTTTTATTTACATGCAAGACAGCCAACTTGGCTGCCAAAGATACACACTGACAGACTAATCATGAATTATTCAATAGAAAAATTCAATGCTATGAACGAAATACACCAAGACATTTTCTTCAATTTCATTAAAAAGATACATTTTGCTTATGCACGAGTATGTTTTTCCAAATTATATTGCTTGTACATGCACCTTATAGATAGATTCTATAATGTATATTGCTTGTACATGCACCTTATAGATAGATTCTATAATGTACCAAAAGATCAAGCAACCTGTTACAAAGTAGCACGAAAACCATATAGCAAATAAAATTCGTCCTCACAAATATGCATGCCACCATGACTAAATAAATTTAACTCATCATCACGCAAGAGGAGACGATCTAGCTATTGCGTACGCGGGGAAAAAAAGGAGTACGGGCGAGGGCAAACGAGGAACGCGGTGGATCGGGGTGGAGGAGCCTGACCGTCGCTCTCGGAGTCGCTGTCGGTCGATCGGGGTCGGGGTCGGGGTCGGGGTCGGAGTCGGAGTCGGAGTCGATGTTGACAACGCCGTCCACCGCAGCGAGTCTCAACTCACCACCACTCTTCTCCTCCTTCACGGCGAGCACCTCGAGCGGACCGGCGGACCGCTCGGGCACGTCCTGCTTCTCGCACGGATCCACTCGGCGTGCCCCGACTTGCGGCGGCCGGCGCTCATGCTCGCGCCGCCGGAGCTCCATTCGCACTCGGTAGGGTTCGGGGAAGCGAACTTCTGTTCAGGGCGACTCGGCGAGAGCCGAGAGATAGAGCAGTGTGCTGGGCTGCTGGTTGCTGGGGTCTTTATGACGGAGGCGACGGCGTTTGGCCACGCCGGAGAGAGAGAGAGAGAGGCGGCGCCATCTCGTGGGTTGGGCACCCAATCGGTGGAGGCGGCGCGGCTGCGCGGCAGTCGAGGGGGCCGCGAACAGTTCCCAAAGTTGTTTGAAATTCATATTCCACTCTCTTCTCTTCGTTTACCCCTCTCATTAATCACTCTAACTAAATTAGTCATCACGATCTAAGGGCCTGTTTGTTCCAAACAAGTCACATATTTATAAGTTAAAAAGTGAAAAAGTAATTTATTTTGTCAAATATCACCAACTTATAAGTCACCCCTACTTATAAGTTTTAAACCCACCGCTTAAAACTTATAATAAATTTTTTTGGCAAATATCAAACAACTAATTATCAAATGTCATTTCCTGCAATTAGTTTATCTTTTAAGTTTTAATTTAATGCTCCATACACCCCGCAAAAAACTTATAAATCACAACTTTTTGTAAATTGGGTAGAACTAAACAAGCTCTAAGTCACCATTTTTCACGTGGGGCCCACATCTTTAATGAGTTTATAAGTCATCTACGACCAAACAGTCATGACTTATAAGTCACTGGGTTTCAGTCACCTGACTTAATAAGTCACCTGACTTATGGAAACTAAACATGCCATAAGTTAAAAAGTAAAATAAGTAACTTATTTTGCCAAACACCACCCACTTATAAGTTACCCTTGCTTAAAACTTATAAGTCACCCTTTTTTGCGTGGGACCCACACCTTTAATGAGCTTATAAGTCATCTACAACCAAACAGGCATGACTTATAAGTCACTGGTTTTCAATCACGTGACTTAATAAGCCACCTGACTTATGAAAACCAAACAGACCCTAAACTCTTCCAAATTCTGCAATTGTGGAGTACAGTATTGTGCAAGATGAGTTATTTCATATTTTTTTAAAAAAGCATGATCAGAAGTGGTAGGTTTATTTTTTGGAAGATGGGCTTTGATTATGCTATACCGGCCGTCAAGCACTCCGGGCGGCACCCTTGCGGCTTGGGTTCGATCACCCACGTGACGAATTACATTGTTGGAGGTAAAAAAAAACCTCATCTGCTTCGTGTTATCCAAAGCACAGGTTTGTGGCACCGGTTAACTTACGGTGTAACGTGCCCCTGTGTGCGGGCGGGCAAGCTTCGGGGATTTTCTCGAACTGGACGAGGAATCCTCTATCTTAACGAGAAATGCTCAAGGTGCGCATGCTATCCCAGGAGTCCGAGTTTTTTTAATAAGGAGACAGGTGGTATAGAATTTGATTTGTTTAATTTCAAGATAGAAGTAAGTGGAATTAGGCATTGTAATTAAATTACTAACTCCAGTTTAGTTCAAACTTAGCAAATACGATTTTTTTGGTGTCTGCTAGTTCCACTAATCTACTTATTTCAAACTTACGACATCAAGCTTATTTCTAATTAGATCGGACCATTCGCGAAAAAATGGACCATGTGTTACAGTGTTTCGTCATCACGTGTGGATTATTGGTTTTCAACTGCTGAAAACCTAGATGAAAGCACCGAATGAATAAAAAAAGGGATGAATTAGTAGACTCTAAAAATTTAGAAAACCAATCTTGTAAGGTTAATACCTACAACTAACAAGATCATACTAAGAGCATGTCCAACACAACCCTAACACAAGGCCCCTACCCTAACACAGGCCCCCCTCTACCTTAAAGGAAAAAAACTTAGTCTAACAGGGCCAAACTCAAGTCTCTAATTTATGGAGGCTCAACTCTTCTCCCTCAACTCTATCTCCTAGGGTGTGTAGGGAGCTCTCTATTCTACATTTTCTTTTCTCGCGTAATGTTTTTTTTCGGGTCGTCGTCCCACTCTATGGGTGTGTTTGGTTCATGGGATATCTAGGGATGGGATATGGATATCCCTGGATGAGGGTTGTTTGATTCTATGGACGAGATGGCCATGGATATCCAGAACAGGGTATATTCTCCTTAGATCCTGTATACTGCGCCACCAGAAAACGAGTGGACGAGGTTATCCACGGTCAGCGCGGACGCGCAGGAAACAAGCGCGGGAGCGCGCGCAGATATTTCTCACCTCCCATCCTTATCTTCACCGTCACCGCTCTCCTCCAGACTCCTCTCTCCACTCCTGCTCTCTGCACAGGTCATCTTGTTGCTCAATGTCTATATAATAGTGACAAAGATGATGACAAGAAGAACAAGAAGAAGGACAAGAATAAAAAGAAAGAGAAGAAGGACAAGATAACATTCAAGAAGAAGAACAAGAGTGGTTCATATGTGGTCACTTGGGATAGTGATGCTTCCTCAAGTGATGATGATGATAGTGACAATGACAAGACCACCAAGAAGAAGGCACTTGCAAGCATTGCTATCAATGAGAAGCCTTCTCTCTTCGACACTCCATCATGCTTCATGGCTAAGGCCACTAAGGTACAAACTTATGATGATGGAAGTGATGGGAAACATGATAATGAAACTGATAGTGATAGTGATGATGATGAACCCACTAAAGATGAATTATTTGACATGCTAGAAGATGCTAAAGATCACTTTGACATTAAGAGAAGGGAATGCAAGAGCTTGAATAAGGAAGTAAAAGCCCTTAAGCAAGCCCTTGATGAGCTCAAAGCAACTCATGAGAGGCTAGAGGAAGCCCATGAGAAGCTTGGTAAGGCTCACAAGAAGCTTGAAAAAGCTCATTCCTCTTTGCTTGTTGAGCAAAATAAAAAGAAGCATGTTGAGATTTGTAATGTAAGCTTAACTTGTGATATAATTGATGAATCATTATCTATGCCTATCATTATTGCTCCCGCTAACCCTTCTTGTAGTACTTCTACTTCCACCTCATCTAGTAGTGATGGTTTCACTTGTGATGCCTCACTAATAGTTGAGAATGAGACTCTCAAAAAGAGGTCAATGAGCTCACTCGCACCTTGGCTAAGGCCTATGGTGGTGAGGACCGCTTGCTTATGTGCTTAGGTAGCTAAAGAGTCTCTCTCTACAAAGAGGGATTGGGCTATATCCCCAAGAAAGGCAAGGCGGCCTTTACTCCTCACAAGACTAGTTTTGTGAAGAATAATGGTCGGTTTTGCACTAGTTGCAAGCAAGTTGGTCATAAAGAGCATGAGTGCAAGAACAAGAGCAAAAATGCTTATGTATCCTCCATTAAGCTTGATTTTTTCTATATGACCAAGGGTGAAAATGGTGTAAAGGCTAAGTTCATTGGTAAACCATGGATGGGCTCAAAGAAGAAAGCCATTTGGGTGCCAAAGAGCTTGGTCACTAACCTTCAAGGACCCAAGCAAGTTTGGGTACCTAAAAAGAATTGATCTTCTTTTGTAGATCAATTACAAAGCCGGAGGAAGGCATTGGGTTCTTGATAGTGGGTGCACTCAACACATGACTGGTGATGGAAGAATGTTCAACTCAATTAACATCAATGACAATGATGGTTATGATAGTATCACTTTTGGTGATAATGGCAAAGGCAAGGTCAAAGGGCTTGGTAAGATTGCAATATCTAATGACGTGAGCATATCCAATGTGTTGCTAGTAGAGAGCTTGAACTTCAACTTGCTATCCGTGGCTCAATTGTGTGATCTTGGATTCAAATGCATATTTAGGGTAGATGATGTAGACATCATAAGTGTAGATGGCTCTAATTTGATCTTCAAAGGCTTTAGATATGAGAATCTATACTTGGTTGACTTCAATGCTAGTGAAGCTAAATTATCTACATGTTTGTTCACTAAGTCTAGCATGGGTTGGTTATGGCATAAAAGGCTTGGTCATGTTGGAATGAAACAATTAAATAGATTGGTTAAGCATGACTTGGTTAGAGTCTTGAAAGATGTTGTGTTTGAGAGCTTTGTAGCTCTTGTCAGGCCGGCAAACAAGTTGGAAACACCCATCCTAAGAAAAGCATGATGAGCACTAGTAAAGCATTTGAGTTATTGCACATGGATTTATTTGGACCAACACAATAAACTAGCATTGGTTGAAACAAATATGGCTTTGTGATAGTAGATGATTACACTAGACACACATGGGTATTCTTTCTAGTAGACAAAAGTGATATGTTTGCAACATTCAAATCATTTGTCAAGGGCATTCACAATGAGTTTGAAACAACCATCAAGAGAGTTAGAAGTGACAATGGTAGTGAGTTCAAGAACACTAGAATTGATGAGTTGTGTGATGAATTTGTAATTAGACATCAATTCTCGGTCAAGTACACTCCACAATCAAATGATCTTGTTGAGAGGAAGAATAGAACACTCATTGATATGGCAATGTCTATGCTTAGTGAGTACAATGTGAGTCAATCTTTTTGGGCCGAAGCTATCAACACGGCTTGCTATTGTAGCAACCACTTCTATTGTCACCCATTAAAAGAGAAGACACCATATGAGCTCTTGAATGGTAAAAAGTCCAACATTGCATATTTTTTGTCTTTGGTTGCAAATGTTATATCTTGAAGAAAGGCACTAGATTGGGCAAGTTTGACAAGAAATGTGATGAAGGATTGCTACTTGGTTATTCCACTACAAGCAAAGCATATAGAGTTTGGAATTTAGATAGTGGTACTCTTAAGAAAGTTCATGATATTTAATTTGATGAAACCAAGGGTTCACAAGAAGAGAATGAGAACTTGGAAGATGTTAGAGGTATTCAACTTTTAAATGCCATGAAGAGCATGGATGTTGGTGAATTGAGGCCTAGGCAAGTGAATCATGATGAAGATGATCAAGTGTAAGTGCTCTCTAATTCAAATGTGCAAGATGATACAAATCAAGCTAGTACAAGTGGCTCTCATGATAATGAACGAGATCAAGTGGTTAGTACATCATCTCAACCCAATGATCAAGTAAATACAGGCAATCAAG